CTTCTAATTTTTATTTATCTACCATACACAATATTGTCCTTAATTATAGTTAGCCCATACATACCATTTTATATTCTGCATTTTTATATACATTTCCTTATGTCAGCATAACTTCCATACTTATAGCAATAACATTTTATAAATTTAACAGTTCAACATGCCATCATGTTAAACTGTTTCCATGTTGTTGGGTTATGGTGTTAATAATAGCAGTAACAACAGCTACCATTTATTTATTGACTGTTTATGCAATAAATATTCTATTAAAAGCATATTTTAACCAAGTAGAAAGCCACCTGAGTTTGTTATGTGGAAATGCCTATACTTTAGAATTCGATATGCAGCAGGTCCTTGAATAATGTCATTTTATTCAACATCTTTTTGTTACAATATTGATGAGAAAAAAATACAACAACTGTGCCTGGCCAGGGCCACAGTCTATGTGGAGTTTGCATGTTCTTCCCATGTCTGCTTGGATTTTCTCTAGGTCCTCCGGTTTCCTCTCACATCCCAAAGATGTGGAAGTGAGGTTAATTGGAGTGCCCAAATTGTCCCAGTGTGAGTGTGTGTGCACACATGTGCTTGCATACCGGAATGCCCTGCCATGATGGCGTCCTGTCCAGGGCTGGTTCCTGCCTGGTGTCCAGAGCTGCTAGGATGGGCTTCCAGCCACCAGCAACCCCAAGCTAGAACAAGTGGGTTGGAAAAGGAATGAAGGAATGAATACAAATTATTATAAAATAAAAATTCATCAAGTGTACGATAATCATACAAATGCACAATAAACCACATGGTATGAAAGTGCTCAGGGGGCCGCCATATTGGTGATTGTTGGTTTTTGAACTTCATGGAGGTCAGAGGTACTCCTGATAATTTTTGATTTGCAAACATTTATTCCTTGATTGAACCAACTGGCGCTATGACTGCTGGCAACTTACCTCTTGTTTTTATCAATTAAGCTATGGTAAAATTGATTTAATTGTATGTTGTTTTGCTTAAAGTCACAGCTTCTAAGAACTTATTGATGACATCAAGTGAGGACTTATTGTACTTAGGCTCCTACTGTCTGTGTGACTTTAGTCAAGAAAAAAAAATCCTTATTTTTTTCTTTACCTTCAACATCTTTCTCTAAACAAATACAAATAATAGCTTATTTAGAGGTTGTACCTTCCACTGAGTCTGGCACATAGTAGATGCTCAAGAAATGAGAAATGATTGTTACTGGGAACTAACTTAACTTGATTTAACCACATCTGTAAAATGGAGAGATTTACATAATGTGTGGGTATTTTCAGATGGCTCTCCAAGATAATCAAATGGTCAGTGCCACCATCAGTATTCTAAGTGTTCAGTTTTTATATGCCACTTTCTCACCAAGGTTACTTTTCCATAACTCTTCCTTTATTTTTTCATTCTTCATTTCTTTCTCTCAACAAATATTAGAATCTATTGTGCACCCAGCCATTCCAGAGTCACTTTATTTATTTATTTATTTATTGATTGATTGATTGATTGAGACAGAGTCTCACTTTGTTGCCCAGGCTAGAGCGAGTGCCGTGGCATCAGTCTAGCTCACAGCAACCTCAAACCCCTGGGCTCAAGTGATCCTCCTGCCTCAGCCTCCCAATTAACTGGGACTACAGGCATGCGCCACCATGCCCAGCTAATTTTTCTATATATATATTAGTTGGGCAATTAGTTTCTTTCTATTAATAGTAGAGACAGGTTCTCGCTCTTGCTCAGACTGGTTTTGAACTCCTGACCTCAAGCAATCTGCCCGCTTCGGCCTCCCAGAATGCTAGGATTACAGGCGTGAGCCACTGCGTCCTGCCTGAAGTCACTCTTGTACTCCAGTTGTACCTGTCATGAAGGAAGTGCCATCTGTTCAACAAGGGTCAGAAGACCCTTGTGTAATCTCCACGGCTAGGCCAGTGGATACGCAGTTATATGTATGTGTGTGCATGTTTTTAAATATGTCTGTCTTCCGCAAGAGACTACAATTAGTCATCTTGATATTATATCGTATCAGTCAGGATGACTGAAGTATAGCCTCCTGGGGAAGACAGAATGTAAATAGATATTAATATGAGTGATATCAATCCATTTATGCCTAAAATGTTATGGCTGTGTATTTATGCTTAAGGGACTAAGGATGGTTTGGAATTTGCCTCTGAGATAAATTTTTTTTTTTTTTCAAGTAAATACTAGCTTAACAGTTACATAGAGAAGAGCCCAAAGTTAAAAGATACAGCCTACCCAGAGAAAATAGGAGGTGCAAAGTCAAAAATGGGGCATAGGAGAGACCTGCATGTTTGGCAACCATTTTCCTATAGTTTTAATAATCAAGGTAGACGAGTTTTAGTGTTAGAAAGGAAGGGGGAGAAAGTTAGCTGGGGCCAGATCTGAAAGAAGATGAGAAAGTGGCAAACATTGTGTACCTCCCATATGGCAGGGGGTATGCTAGACATTCCATGCATATTTTGTTTCTCGACTCTCACAATAACCTTATTTTAGAAGTGATGGAATTGAGGCTTTGAATATGAGGTAAACTGTCCAAGGTCAAGCAGCAAGAATATATTGGAATTGATGTTCAGAGCCAAGTCTTCCAGCCAAAACCCATCTTCTCTTCGCCTCTAGGATACAATTAAAAGGGAAACCACTTAGGTGTCTTCTCTTTTATTTGGGCTTAATTAACTCCTCTGCTCGAAGATAAATCTTTGGGGCTTTATTTTCTTTTGTCTCAAATTTTACTGAGAGTAGAAAGCAGATGTTCTATGAAATTTATTTTCACTTGCTTCAGTGTTTCTCAAAAGTGACCACTTGCTGTCCATAGAAGTCATGTTATGTAGCAGATTCTTTTTTAGAGCTTTTATGCTTTCTTGTGTTTGCATTTTCACTCATTTATGCATCCTTGTTATGGCTCACTCTTTGCCCTTCAATGGGGCTGAGTTTTAACCTGCTTAGAGCTTTTCTGTTTGCTCTTATCATCATTTTTCTCAGACCTTCAACAGGAGGGCTGGTTGTCTAAGTTATCTGCCACTTTGAAGGTTGGCAACTGTTTGGAGGGAGTCAGAGCCCTGAGATTTCCTTCAGGAGAACTGTGTCCTAGTGGCCAGCTGTCTCTCTCCAACCTCATTGGATCAGCCTGTGTGCAAGACACAAAGTATGACTGAGTCTGACCTCCTTTCTGGTGGCTCCCTCAGGGAACACCCTGCTGTCCCTAGAGAAATGCCCTGCCTTACTCAGTGCTGCCATTTATGCCATTGCCCTGGGCTCATGGTCCTCTGTAGGGAGAGGAATGACCAATCTCTACTTCCAATCTGCCCTCAAGTACCCCCTTCCTCTAATAAAATCTCCTCCAAATAGAGATTGAAGAAATCTCTAGATTAGAAATCAGCAAATGGTTTCTCTAAAGGGTCAGATAGTATATGTTTTAGGCTTCATTGGTCATACAGTTTCTGTTACAACTACTTAACTCTGCCATGGTAACATGAAAGCAGCCAGAGATAATATGCAAATGAATGGCTGTGGCTGTGTTCCAATAAAACTTTATTTATAGGCTTTGATATTTGAATTTCAAATAATTCACACAATTCTTTTAATTTGCTTCAAACATTTAAAAATGTAAAAGCCATTCTTAGCTCACAGGCTAAACAAAAACCAGCAGCAGGGCTGGAGTTAGCTCACCCTGGCTCTGGGCAGCTTGCTGTGGTACTGCTTTTCCTGCAGGGTAAATTGAGATCTGACCATTAGGATTTCCAAGCTGGTTGTTTCAGTACAGCATTTCTAATCCAGAGCAGCTTTTCTTAGTCATTGTGATCACGCCATTTTTACCTATAGACTGACAAATTCAGTTTTCTTGTATATTGGTGCAGTGTTTCCCTTTGTTCTCTGGGAATAGGGAAGATGTATAGGTCCCCCTAACAAGCCTATATCTTATCTAGAGGCAAAAGCTGGATTTCTTGTTTGTCTGGAAAATTTTCTTATTATTTAACCTTTTTTTCTGTTTTTGAGGAAATGCTTTAATTGAACTAAATTAAGCTGACTACTAACTGGAGTGTAAGTTTTGGAATGAACATGTTTGAACTTCATTCAGATGATTTTTCAGATTATTCTTTCTATTTTTTCTTCTTGAGATTGTGTTGCAAACAGGAAGATAGCTTTGGCAAGAAAATTAAAGGATTGACAAAACAAAAGTGTGAATCAAGACAAAAAATAGATGCCAGTGCCTACTTTTGTTGTTGCTGTTCATTCATTCGTTTACTTAGCAAATGTTTATGGGTGCCAGGCACTATATCCCAAAGTGAGATCTCACTTCACATCTGTCTTGACATACAAAGATGAGTAGAATACAATGGTTGTCATTTAGAAAACTACAGGGGAGACATAGAACCAATGAGATATATCTTTATGTAATATTCTTGATATTTCTTGCTCATGTTATAGGACAGTAATAGGAAGAAAGATGTGCACTATACTTGCTACATGATATAGTGAAGCAGCATGTTCTGTGGGGTGCAGGGTCCTAGGTCAGCTGCTTTACTTCTCCGACTGTTAAACTTTGTGAAGGGAGATGACCATGTCACAGCTTTGTTGTGAAGACTAAATGAAATGTCATATGCAGACATAGTGTACCGCTCAGCACCTAGGCGCTAAAAAATATCCATATCGGAGAGTAAGTTGGTTTTTTACCTGATTTGTTTCTTACTGATATACTTGTGGCTTACCCAGAAACATTATGCCCATGTACTGCTATTAATAAATTTACTTCTTAATCAGGCTGAACCTTTATTGTTTACCATTCATCAATACTTTAAGTGCAGCATGTTCCAATGGCTGTACTTCACATTGTGCAGAAAACAGTCTTTTCATTGGGTTGCTTGTCAGATCTCCGTTAATATTATTGTTAGTATTATGCTACAGATTGGAAAGATGCTATTGTGTACATTATGTGAAATAATATTAACTGGCTGATTTTGTCATCTTGTGTGTCTGTTTAGATATGAACAGTGATGGTACATATTTTGGTGAGGGGTTGCTGCGTGGACTGTGGATTGAATAAACTGTATCCATCCCCAACATGATGTACAACACCCAGGCTCTTCATTGGTAGGTATTTTTTATTTCAATATCATTCACATGGTTAGATGCGAGATTTTCAACAGAGAACGTACTTTTATAATGATAATGAAAAAATGTATAACATACATGTATTCATGTTGCTGGCATGAAATATGGCTAGATTTCATCAGTCTATATCAACCAATTGTTAAATAAAGGACCCTGATAAAACATCTATTATCATATATATTAGTATGGTAGTATACATGTGTTTCTAAATAGGCAGAATTTAGAAATATGGAATTTTACCTCTCCTTTAAGGGAATAAAAAAAGTGACTGTCAAGTTTCAGTATATCTGGTTCTTAAATATTAAATATATCTAGAAGCAGTGTAAGCCTAAACATTTTATCTTGTTTCTATTTTGAGGCAGTTTAATTTTATTGTAATTTTGTATGTGTTTCCACTTATAGCTTTATCATATTGATAATCCATTTATGATATGCATGGGGTCATGGAATGAGAATTATACTCAGATTTTTAGTTTCAGCCTCAACATTTGTCATCCGACTAGTCTCTTAATCTCTACGCATCAGTTTCCTCATCTGAAAAATTAAAGGAATAATTTCTGGTTTACCTAATTCATTATAAGATTACTTTGAAAGCCAAATGAGGTAATGAAGGTGAAATTATTAACTAACTGTAGAACACTATATAAAATAAATGGTATTATCTGTGGTTTACTAATGGTACAAATAGAGTTGGAAAAAGTTGTGACCATAATTTTCTTTCCAAATTGGTTAATGCACTCTAAAATTTTGCATGTTCTTCACCTAAGAGATAAATAATAAAATAATCATTAATTTTCATTTATGACCCAAAGTAATTCTCTGTATTTTAAAAAATTATGTTTAAATGAAATATGAGAAAACATGTCTCTGACATAAACATGCACACACCAATCCCCACTGACCATAATGAATTTCTGTTTCTGCCATCCGGAATATCTACTCCCTTATTAGATTTTATTTATTAGGTATTTACATTTGGAGGACAAAGATACGTTAGATATTTTTTATGTATACCTTAATTTCAGAATACTAAGGAAACAGTGCGGGAGTCTGATCAGATATTACTATTTAATACCTTTGTTTACTAAAATCCTTTTAAGATTTCATATGACCAGTTTTTCCAGCTAGCACATTACAGCTAGCCTATTTAAAATGAAAGTCTGAGAGTGTAATCCTAACAAATGTATTCAGTAATATGGAGAAAAAGACTTTTCCACTAAATTTAAACAAGTTATATAACCAAGCCCGTGCAATGAAAATGGTTTGCAAATTCTTTTCCGGAAATTAGATATGATTTTCACTGTAAGAGCAGTGGTCTATTATGTAAACAAAATGTGTGCATATAAATTAAATGAAAATACTAATGATAAGTGACATATTTGCTTGCTGATATTGTAGCATGGTGCCTAAGTATGCAGGGTCTACAGTCATACTGCCTGAGGCTGCAACCCAGTTCCATCATTTTTTAGCTTTAGGAAGTTGAGCAAGTTATTTAACCTCTCTGTGCCTTAGTTTGTGCATTTGCAAAATGAGGCTAGTAACAAGAGATCATACCTTTATTACGTAGGGTTGCCATGTGGCTTACATGAGTCAATATGGTCAAGTGTTTAGGATCACTGTGTGATAGTAAGTTACCATTTAGTTCTCTTGGGAGTATGGAATTATCATGATGAGCGCAGATTTTAGAATCAGAAAGCCCTAGATCCAAAGTCATTTATTAACTAATTGAGGAATTTAGAGTAGTTCAAGAAACTCAGTTTCTGAGAAATGAAATGGGAATAATTATGACATACTCCATACAGCTTTTTTTAAGGTTGGCTTAACATAGCATCTGGCAAAGAATGGGGTTTTCAGACCTGAAGTCTCATATAATTTGGAGGCAGAAGATGGATGAAATCTTTGTCAGCAGGGTTTTAAGAAGGTACAGTTAGCTTCAACTTTATGCATAACATAATCATGGTAGGGGGAAGCGTGAAAGCCTAGGAGTGGAGTTGGGCATGAGTAGGCTGTATTGCAGGCCAAGCAGAAGATGGGTCCCTTAAGGCGAGGGCCTGCTGAAGAATGACTGGAAGTGGACACAGTGAGCTGTCAATGCCTCAGAAAGGTGGATGTGGCCCTGTTTCTTGTGTCTGTTGCAGATCTTCTCTGCCTCTTTGCTGACCAAGGTCCACCTACAAGCACCCCCCTTACCTGCCTGCAAAGACGACCTCATGGGCCCGCTCGTGTTTCACATTCTGTCCATCAATCAAATGCCTGTTCTCCCTTCCAGACTCAGTTTATCTGCTCTGTCATCCTTGAAAACTCCTTCAGTCCTCCTCTTAAAATTGACAGTTCCCTTCCTTTTCTTCCCCTCTGTGCTATGCGCATGCCTCTTTATAGACCATGCTCACTTCTTTTGCAGTGATTGTTTGACACAACCATCTATCCCATTGCTGTCGGCGTGTGGAGGGCAGTCCTAATCTTACTCGTTCTTGTTTCTCCAGTGTCCAGAACTCAACAGATAGTTACCAATTCAATTAATGATTGAAAGGATTAATAGCATCTTCCGTCCTTAGATTAAACAGAAAATAATTACATTCGTCATGGTACAAAGATTTCTATGGACTGTCCTTTAAAACGTATAGTCTCTTAAAATTGTTAGTAATATAAATCTCTAAAAGGCATAAATAGAAAAATGAAAACTGGCAACTTTTAACCTACCATGATGTTTGTATCATTTTAAGCCTTTTTAGCAAAAAATAACAGGAGTTTTAAACATGTATATCTGACTCTACTAACAACCTTTTTAGTTTATTGTTAAGCATTTTATTTATTTATTTATTTATTTAGTCTCTGGGTGGGCTCAAATACTTTATTTTTAGAACAGCATTTCAACAATGATGAGGCATTATCTGATCTCGTGTTAACTGAGGGTGGAATGTCTTCCTCTATATGAGTTAGTAAGAAAAAAGTTTTAAAATAGTGCTTTAGGTTTTATTTTATCATAATAATTATTGTATTCATTTTGAATACTTTTTTTCAACACCCCGGACTTGAATTCATAATAAGCTATTAAAAAAGTATACATATGAAAGCATATATTTATGTGTGTGTATATATATGTGTATGTGTATACACATAAATATAAAGTACGCATATATATACTCTCTCTGTACATATATTTCTTATATCCAAGGAAGGTTCCTACCATTAATCTGATTTGGGAAAGGTGGAAAATGTGTGTAAGTGTATTCCTTTCCTTTCCTTTCCTTTCCTTTCCTTTCCTTTCCTTCCTTTCCTTCCCTTTCCTTTTCCCCTTTCCTTTTCCCCTTTCCTTTTCCCCTTTCCTTTTCCCCTTTCCTTTTCCCCTTTCCTTTTCCCCTTTCCTTTTCCCCTTTCCTTTCCCCTTTCCTTTCCCCTTTCCTTTCCTTTTCCTTTCCTTCTTTCTCACCAGGTTTTGCTCTATTGCCTCAAACTCCTGGCCTGAAGCTAGCCTCCTACCTCAGCCTCCCAAAGTGCTGGGATTACAGGTGTAAGTCATTATGTCCAGCTGTTAAGCGTACTCAAACTTCTTGGTTTGAGCTATTTGTTTAAAAGCAGTGTGAAAAACAACCTGACCAAAACCAAACAAAAAAATCCCTCCATATCAATAAATGAGTAGCTGTATTTCACTCAGAGCAGGACTTTAAATTGTTTAATTTAAATGTTTATTCTTGCATTGTACCATTATAACTGAAATTGTACCATTGTACAGGTTTCTTATAAAATAAAAGACCACTAAGTTTACTAAAACAGTGTTTTAACACTGGGCACGCATCTTTGTTGGTTAGTTTATGCCAGTTATATGCAGTGAAGTCAATATGGGCTACAGAGCTAGAGTTATAAGAAGCACAAATTTTCTTGAGCAACTCAGCTTTCACAGATGGCTGTAGATGAGCAATTGGAAAGCATTAAGCTAATAAAGACATTTTTAAGAGAGGAAAACAGGCTGACAGGCTACTTCAGTTTTCACTGTATGAGCTATTTTAGATTGACATGCATCCAGCAAAAAGAAATGATGTTTGAATAAATCATATGTCAAGAATATCCATCCAGTTGTGTAAGCAGAAATATAAAGGAGTAATGTAGGCGTTATCGCATTATTAAACTTTGTTCGATATGCTCAAGCAGGTAGAACTATAATGCATTCTTGAATGAAGTTTTTTTAAAAAAAAATATTTCCAAAGATAATACTTGACAAAAGACCAAATTGTTTACTGATAACTTTTTAAGTCTCTGTTTTATGTACTTGAAGATTAAAATGTCTTGGCAACTATTTTCTTACATTCTTTTTAGCTAAAAGACTTACAGTTGTGTGTTGACATGAAATAATAACAGTGGCTTCCGTTTATTGAACCTGTACAGTGGAGTTCCTCGCCACATTGTCCTTTAGTCTTCACAACGACTCTGCAAGGAGCTCACTGTTATCTTCTGTGTACAAGCAAGGAGATGGACACTATGTGGTGTCCACTGCTCATTTACATATGTAGATAACCTACACTTGTAACACTGATTTCCAAGTACCATGTAAAGAAGTCAGTCTCACCACTGTAAGACGACATATAAATGCTTTTATATGTGCGAATAGAACACTAGTCTTATTTTTGGACTAAAATTAATTTTGAGACTATAATATGCTTCTGATTAACCCTTTGCTTATCTAGTATTCTGGAGAATAAATAGCTTCTAAACTTATGATGAAAGATTTCCCTTTCTATGCTGTTGCAGCAACCCAGATACATAAAAATGAGAATCTGCATCTGCATGAGATGCATCCTCAGTAGTGGATACAATAGGAATCCTTCAGGAGAAAGCATTAGCCGTTTTTAAGATTGAGCATTTTATCCATAGAGGTCAAACAATGTCTTCATTTAATGTACTTTTCTTATGTCTTATTTCTTTCACTTTAATAATCGGTGTAAATGCCGTGAAATGAGCAGGAATGTCATGTAATTGATTGA